CCTGTGCCCAGCCAGAGTCTGGAGAGGAATCCTGCCCCAATCACTGCTAGAGGGAGAGCGGGCTGAGGCCACGCCCCACCCGGGCAGCCTGTGCAGTGAGGATTAGCTCTGACTCAGCCGCAGGGCTGGTGCTCCAGAGCCTGACTTCAGCACCAGTCACCTAGCGCCGTGCCGTGCAGCTGTCCCACAGCAGTGTCCACGAAGGAGTCCTCGCACTCTGAGGAGACCTGTACCTCAGCGAGAGGTTTGGGCTTGGGCCTACATCACCGTCAGCCAGGGCGTGGTCCTTGAGTGCCTCTGAGACTTTGCACATGCAAATGTCTGTGGTTGGGCAAATAAGGCATCACCCAGGTCAGCATTGCTGTGATGACCAGAGACTGCTTCACCAGCACCACACCGATGTTGAGCAGCACAGCAGGGTGCAGGACTCCACAAGCTGAAGGTACACTGAGGTAGTTATCACAGGTCTTTGCCTTGGAACTCCATGAGAACCCAGCACTGGGCAGATCTTAGTAGCCCTCACCCCCAGGACTCCCTGTGAGTGGAATCTGCAGCACCTCTGGTCGCAGGCGGTGACTCACAGTCTAAGACATGAACTTCAGTTCAGATCAAGAGCAGCTGTGGCTGGTTGCAATAAGCTTGGGTTGTGAGCAGACCTGAGCACCTATGGCTTTATAGTGTTGAGACTGATCCTGCGTCTTGCTGCTCTAGATGGCCTAGGGCAAGGGTATGACACAGCTTTGTGCTGTTGGCAGCCATAAGAATGACAGAGTTAGAATCATCAAATTATAGGAACACTTCATACCTGTGTTAATACAGACACAGTTTATAATAGCATGATCTTGGAAACAGATGAATGGATAAGGAAAATATGGTATATATACACAGTGATTTATGCTGCCACACATCAGTAAATTTAATACAGCACATTAACAGAAGCAAGGACAAATTACAAAATCATATCAATATATGCAGAAAAAGCATTTGTAAAACTCCAAAATCTGTTCATGAAAAAAATCTGAAAAAAAATGTATAGATGGACCTTACCTTTGTAGCAACAATCAAAATAAACACAGAAAAATCAATAGCATTCCTGTACACTAATAATGGACTGAGTGACATGGACATAAGGAAAACAGTAACATTCACAGTAGCATCAAATTAAAATATTGTGCTTATGAATGGACCTAACCAAGACAGTGAAAGTCCTCTACAAAAACAAAACAAAACAAAACAATGGAAGAAAGGAAAAAAATCCACAGTGCTTTGAAAAAGGAGATTCAGTAAGACATAAAAAAGTGGAAATATAACCCCTGTTCCTTGACAGGCAGAACTAATATTGTCCAAAATGGCCATATTTCCAAAACTGATACATCGATTCAAATCAATCTCAGTCAAAATACCAACAGGACTCTTTATGAATTAGAAATAAACCACCTAAAAATTAATATATAACCAGAAGAGACTCATATAACAAAGGCAGACCTGGGTAGCAGGAGCAAAACAGGAGGCATGAAAATCTTGGATTTCAAATTAGATTACAAAACTCTGGTGATGGAAACTGCATGGTACTGACAGAGAAGCAGACATGTGGATCAAGGGAACAACACGAGGGACACAGACACAGCTCGGATAAATTCACCATCTTAGCCTTGTTAGAGGGGCCAAAAGCTATGCTGGAGGAAAGAGAGCATCTAATACATGGTGCTGGGAATCTGGCTGTACACATGCAGAAGGTCGAAGCTAGACCTATATCTCGCAGCAATAACTGAAGTAAATTTAGTGTAGATGAATAATCTAAACATGAAAATAGAAATACTTGATCTGCTGTAAGGTAAAACAGATAAAACACTCACTAGTAGGCATAAGCAAAGGCTGGGTTACTTTGTATTGTGTTGCGATGAGCATGAGAATATGAAAATCTGTTTGAGATCTTAATGTCAGTATTTTGGATAGCTACCTATGAGTGGGAATGCTGGATTATGAGGTAAATACACAGGTACCTAATTAAATAAATGACACAAAGTCACTGTTGAGTAGAGTAGGGACAATTAGTGGATAACCTCCAGATATTGCATTAAATTCTCCATGGCTTTAAGGGTAACCAGCAAATTGCTTGGTGTCTCCTCAGGGAGAGTTTCAAAGCTTTTACAAGGAAAATTTGCCCTCAACACCTTAAACCCCATGTTAAGAAGCACATTGGTGGGAGAATCAAGAGGGAGATTTCATTACAGGTAACAGAGGCAGGTGGTCCGATCGATGCTGTATGTTAAACCTGTATCTCAGAATCAACAGAAATGGCCACAGTTTCACTCAGCTTTGCCTACTAATGAGAGCACCTAGGATTGTGTTTGTGTGCTCTTTACAGCTCCACAGCGCCTGAGCAGCAAGACGACCTCTCTCCTCACCTCTCCTCTCAGTTTTGATATTTGAACATTTTCATAAGGCTGAGAAGATGAATGCTCAGGAGCATCTCAGAAACCCAGAGTGGGAGTTTTCTTAGAAAATGCAAAAATGCGTATCACATATTTAATCATATAATTAATCTAATGTAATCATATATAATTTCATGCTGAAAAAGGCCAAAATTGAGACGAGATAAAGCATAAAAAATAGGACACAATTTTGTTTAACGCCCCATTTTGAAACTTGAATGATTCAGTTACTGGGATCTAATTCTGGCTTTACAGACTTCTGTGTTTTTGGAATATAGTCTAACCTTTAATAGCTAGAAAACTAAATGTACAAAATGTGATTCATTCCTGATCCTTTAGTGAGGAAAGGGACTTTTCATCTGAAAATGAGGTGATAAAATTATTAAGTTTCAGGAGAATTTAAAATTCAGTTTAATGGAAATGGTATTGTTCCTCATTTTATAGTAAATTTCTCAGAGTATAATTTTTAAAAATAAAATTGAAGGTGAAATAGCATACCATAAAAGAGCAAGTTGTTTTGTTCCATTGAATTAAAAAGCTATTAAAATTTTTATTTTTCTCTCTTAAAAGAACATTAATTCTTACCATATGCATATTTTAACAAACTTTTTCATAATTTCAAACCAAAGAAACAGAAAAGAAAACAAGTGTTATTCTGCTTCTTGTGGTGTTTTACCAAAGGTATTTTTATAATGTTATTACCTGATAGTTTTTCATAGTTAAAATGAGAAAATTATCTCTACAGGGCAGAGGCATAGACCAGGCATTCACCATGATTTCCAGAAGCTTTCTGGGAAACAAAGCATAATTCCATGTCATGGGCTTTTCATATGTGTCTTTTTATAGCTTACTCAGAGATTTACAGCTCTACATTTTGTACTACAAAGTATGTTTTTTACTGTTTTAGTTTTTAAAACATAAGAACAATGTTTTACAAAAGTACTAATTGTCTTACCTTGAGATACTATGTGAGTCTTTTCAATCTGTACTTGCACTATATCATATTTCCATATAGTTCATATGGATGCAATTCAAAGAAGTATCTCAGATCTCATCAGAAATCCATATAATTCTCAGCTTTACTGTTTTTTATTTTGTCTCTAGGTACTTTTTAACATAGTAAAAGCTTTACACAAGAAGAGGCATTAAATGTTTTATAAATATATCAAAATTATTTCTTCAACATATGCTACCCTTTTATCCCCAGGGACACTTTTATTTTCATTATAACTACCGATTCTAATAACTTTCCTACTGATGGCCTAAGATTTGGCTATGTAGCATGTATCTGATTGGTTACATCCAAGTAAATTTCAGTTATTATTAAAATATCCCCAGGTGATATTAATATGTAAGTGTATGTATAGAAAGTTAACTTACGCCAATATATATTAAAATAGTTTTGAAAGACAGAAAAGTAGCACACTGCCATTTTATGTGCTGTTTTGAAATTTACCATTAGAATGTCTCATTTTACTTATTCTTTTAGTTTTATTAGTGCATGTTTGCAATACATACTGTTTCTGTTCCTTGCATAGAGTTGGTGCTTGTACATAGCACGTTTTAATTTCTTTTCTCATCAATTTTCCTTACCTTTCCTCCCCATTCCCTGTATCTCTTGGTCCTTTCCCATTGAGAAGGATCTATCTTCCTATTATGTCCCTTATTTTTGCTCTTTACCTATAAGTTGAATTTCTCATGTATGCACTGTGATACTTAAGCTTATGTATATGATATATTTATATTTCATGCCACATTATGGTCTCAAGTTGCATCCCTTTTCCGACGGAAGACTCAAGTTTATCTTTCACTACAGTAGGGTAGTATTATAGGAAATACCACATTTTGTTTATCTATTCTCTAGCCAAACATATAGGCTGCTTCCAGGATTTAGCTTTTATGAATTTCCCTGCTGTAAACACGGTTGTGCATGATAACAGTGATATGATGTTTTTAATTCTTTCAAGCATATAACTTGAAGGTGAAGAGCTAGGTCAAAAGGAATTTCTAGTTTTAGCTTTTTGATGACTCACCATACAATATCTTATTTTATAATTAGGGTGAATGTCACTTTATAAAATGTACCTGTTCAATGTCATAAGGTGATTGTTATAGCAAATGACAATTATGAAATTTAAAGAGCAATAGAATCCTTATTCTGTTATTGAATTTTTTATCTATAGGTATCTATATATATATAGGTTTCTCTGTACATATTGTCATGTATCTGTATGTCAATCTATCTACCTATTATATTACTCAATTTTAGAAAGAAGTTATTGATGCTCAAAAATGATTATAATGTCAAGGTTAATGGTTTAGGTATTCTTTTCCCAATAGAAGCCAGTAGCAGTTCACTTCTCAAGACAACTGAATTACCTCTGGATGTAAATAATGTTCTCTCTGATGGAAGGGAGAGTTTTTTCTAAATGTTGTCGATTTAAAATTTTGAACAGATGATATTTAAACTATCTCCATGGAATGAATCAGTCCCAGTAATGAGAAGGGCGCCCAATTGTTTAATGCTGTTGTCTCTACCTAGAACAGGTGTTCTTATCATCCTGGATGGAAGGGCCCAACCTTACAGCGGTGACCGAGTTCATTCTGCTGGGGATCACAGATCGCCCTGAGCTAAAGGCTCCACTGTTCCTCCTGTTCCTCCTCATCTACATGACCTCACTGCTGGGCAACCTGGGCATGATCATCCTCACCCAAGTGGACCCCAGGCTGCAAACTCCCATGTACTTTTTCCTCAAACACCTGGCTCTCACTGATCTTGGCTATTCTACAGCTGTTGGACCCAAAATGCTGGTAAATTTTGTGGTGGATCAAAATACAATCTCCTATTATTTTTGTGCTGCACAGCTGTCTTTCTTTACTATGTTTATCAGTAGTGAGCTTTTTATTCTGTCTGCCATGTCCTATGACCGCTATGTGGCCATCTGTAACCCTCTTCTCTACGCTGTCATCATGTCACCAAGGGTGTGTTGGGTACTGGTGGCAATTCCCTATCTCTACTCCATATTTGTGTCTCTTCTCATTCCTGTAAAGATTTTCACTTTGACTTTCTGTGGATACAATGTCATTAATCATTTCTACTGTGATTGTATCCCCTTGATTTCTTTGCTCTGCTCAAATACTCATGAAGTTGAATATATAATAATGGTAACTGCATCTCTGGATTTGATTTCCTCTCTTCTCATTATCTTTGTGTCCTACCTGCTCATTTTTGTGGCCATTCTCAGGATGAAGTCTGCAGAGAGCAGGCACAAGGCCTTCTCCACCTGTGGGTCCCACCTGACCGTGGTCACCGTGTTCTACGGGACACTGATGCTTATGTATGTGCAGCCCAAGTCCAGTCACTCCATTGACACTGACAAAGTGGCTTCTATATTTTATACCCTGGTCATCCCCATGCTGAATCCTTTGATCTACAGCTTGAGGAACAAAGATGTAAAATACGCTCTTCACAGGATAAGGAAAAACATTTGCAAATGTTTTTCTTTCAAAGCATGTACAGTGTAAGTCCAGCAATACCATTGTTTTCCTCCACAGATTGACTCTTTATCTTCAAAGTATGGACATTTGGGTACTACTTAAATTTCAAATTTTTCTAAATACATCAGTGAACAAAACATTTTAAAACCGTACCTTTCTTGAGGTACAGTGGTAAATTTTAGTGTAACATTCAAAGAATTTTTCTAGTGCCTTACAATTGTGTGGTCTATCAATAAAGCTGGAATGCTCCGTGGGAGTGTAAAGGAATAGTAGGCACAGAAGATGAGAAAAAAGCCTTTTTTGTTCTTTAAGGTACTGGGGATTAATCCTACAGCCTTCGCAGTAAGCTACATCCCCAGCATTTATCTATTTATTTGCTTACTTATTTATTTTGAGAGAGGTTCTTCAAAAATCTTTAATTTGTTCAGGTGAGTCTTGAATTTATGATCCTCTTTCCTTAGTCTCTCATAGTGCTTCACAATTTTTTTTGGTATTCTCATTAATAACAATAAACTTTCCTGTATCCAGTTGTGATTTTGTGTCTGACCTTCTGTTTTTGTATGAGTACAATCTTACTACTTTAGGCTTCATATTCTCCTATGTGGTTGTGTTACAATCAGTTTTGATTGCATTTTCAAGAGGTTCATTTCAACAGAATGATCACAAAGAATATGACATATGAACATACTCAAGTGTTCTAAGTAGATATCCTAATATTGTGATCTTATCATACATTGGTTTTCTCATTAATGACTTTACCTTCATATATTAACCCAATAGAGTCTATTCACTCAACAAAATATGCTATTCAGCAAGCCATAGATCCAGCACAGCAAGCAGTTTTGTGTAATTCAGTGCACTTGTATATGTGAGTGAAAGCACAGAGTGAATACACATTAAAATATGAATAAAATATTATTTGAAGAATAAATCTCATGTATATTGTCATCGGGTAATAAAAATTACTGATGAGTTTAGGCAGTCGATAGCTAATTCATTTTGATGAAAATATATCACACAGTTCATTTGTTCATATATACAACACAATATTATAATTTCCTAAAAAATTCATCCTGCAATGACAGAATTGAAACATTACATTGAGGAGACACTCAGTGAAATAAATAGGACAGACCTGTGTAAATGCCGAATAGTTTCTCTGGTGTGAAAAACTAAAAGTGTAAATAAGGATCAACTTGTTTATTCTTAAAATGACAGTTTCCAGTTATATCTGTTATATTTTCCTTATAAGTACAGCTGTTCAATCTCTATTAAGTTTTATAACACTTTCAGCTGTACTTAGAGCTGTAAGGTCTTTGTAGTTTTGTATTTGGAAGTAGAGAGTTACATGCAATTTTCAAATTTATCATTAGAAATTCTTATTACATAGACACCATATGTATTAGGTCATACAATAAATGCAATTCTCGAGTGCCACTACATATAGTTAAATAAATGGCAAAGAGGAAAAGTAAACAATAGCATAAATTTATCTATTTATTCAGAGCCCCAAATTTCTACAATATTTACTCTTAAATGATTTTTTTTGCTTAAATATTTTCATCTACTTATATTTCCACTTAACTGTCTACATATCAGGATATATTTGCCTATCAGAAATCTATCAGGGTCTCTGAAACTTATAAAGGTTGATAATTGGGACTGGCTGGATATTTTTATAGACTAGATATTGGATATAATGAGACACTTATCTGCTTAAGGGGGCACTAGCCATTATATATCAATGATAGCTCACTCCTCTTCTGAGACAATCAAAATATGAGTGGACAAGGAAATATCTTTTTATGTGTAAAAGCTCCTTGGTTGAGAAATACATTTCTATATTCTATATGTCTCTATTTCAAGGTATAACATATTCTTGAAAATGAGTTTATTTAAAAATAATTTATATCAGGTACATTAGATATAGCTTATTGATACAAGCTTTGCATAATATACTCCCCAGTTGATAAGCTTAGACCTTTATTGACTATACTGAAAGTTCTAGCAAGAATAATTTTGCTGGATAAATCTGGATAAAAAAACACAACCTCACACCGGTGATCCAGTTCATTCTGTTGGGCATCACAGCTCGCCCTGAGCTAAAGGCTCCACTGTTCCTCCTGTTCCTCGTTATCTACCTGACCTCACTGCTGGGCAACCCGGGCATGATCATCCTCACCCAGGTGGACCTCAGGCTGCAAACTCCCATGTACTTTTTCCTCAGACACCTGGCTCTCACTGATCTTGGCTATTCCACAGTTGTGGGGCCCAAAATGTTGGTAAATGTTGTGGTGGATCAAAATACAGTCTCCTATTATGGTTGTGCTACACAGCTGGCTTGCTTAGGTTCTCTTGTGGGTACTGAGCTTTTTATTCTGTCTGTGATGTCCTATGACCGCTATGTGGCATCTGTCACCCTCTCCTCTACACTGTCATCATGTCACCAAGGGTGTGTTGGGTACTAGTGGTGATTGCCTATCTCTACTGCACATTTGTATCTCTTTTGATCACTGCAAAGATTGTCACTTTGGCCTTCTGTGAATACAGTGTCCTCAGTCATTTCTACTATGATAGATCTCCCTTGTTATCTTTAGTTTGCTCAGACACACATAAAGTTGAAGTGATGATGTTATCTTAGCAGCTTTAAACTTGATTTCCTCTCTCCTGGTGGCTCTCGTGTCCTACCTGCTCATCTTTATAGCCATTCTCAGGATGAAGTCTGAAGAGAGCAGGCGCAAGGTCTTCTCCACCTGTGGGTCCCACCTGACTGTGGTCACCGTATTCTATGGGATGCTGATATTTATCTACGTGCAGCCCAAGTCCAATCACTCCTTTGACACTGACAAAGTGGTTTCCATATTTTACACCCTGGTCATTCCCATGTTGAATCACTTGATCTATAGCTTGAGAAATAAAGGTGATAACTGTGCCCTATGAAAAGCACAGAAAAAATGTGCAATATCTTTTTGTAAAATTCTCATACATTATGATTTCTGTGTATGAATCTGGAATGTCAACTTGCTATGGTTTCTTCTAGAATGTATAGCAAGCACAGATGGGCTCACAATATATTTAAATATTGACCCTGTTTTTACTTGTCACATTTCCACATGTCATAAAACATGAGGCACATATAAAAATAGTCTTATTATAAACTATCATAGCTAAAAATATTATAGCTACATAGAACAGGTTGAGTCTAAACCTATGAGACAAGGTTGCAGAGTTGTAGGCTACTGGGAAGTTAGGCAGAGTAATAAATACAGAAGAGGAGACAAATGGCTTCTGCAGTATTTCCAATGATTGCAATAATTTCCTAGTGTCCATATGTGTCTCTGTGTTACTCTTTTCCCAAATGGAATTTTTTGATTTTATTCTCTGCACATTTCATGGGTTATGGTAAAATAAAAGGTGACTGCAGTATCAGGAGGCTCAGTGTAGTGTGATGATTTGAATGAATCAGTCATAATGATCTCTTCAAATGCCTTGTTCCATAAGGGGACCTTAGGGTCCTTCTTTTTCTTCTTTTTTAAAAAATTCTTTGCCATAGGCTTGTGATTCGCAGTTTTTAGCAGTTGTGTTCTGCTTGGGGTTGAGACACATAAACATCAGATCTGATCATGCTTATGCCCCTTTTCCTCCCCAACATCCCTTCTCCCCATCTCACCAGGTTCCATTTAGAGTCTCCACCCATTTCGTAACAGGAGTCTTCCATTTTGTAAGTTATTCGCATTTTGGTTCTCCCACCATGGGGAAACCGTGTGATGTGTAACTCTAGGCAACTGACTTGTTTTACTTAGCATTATGATCTCAGGACCCTGCCCCCTTCCCTACCAGTGATACAGATTTATCCTTCTTTATGGTCAAGGAACGCTCTAGCTTGTGTGTGCAGCACATTTTCTTTATGCAGTCATGACTTGGGGGCAGAGTCCACTCCTATAATTTTTCTCTTGTCAATTTGTGCTGCTATAAACGTGAACATGACTTGTTTCTGCAATATGATGACTTTTAATCGGTAAAACCCTTGAAGACGCAGCACGGAAAAACTTCTGGAGCAGAACCCCAATTGCAGAAGGTTGCTCTTTTACCGAATTAGTCCCCTCACGTTCACATATGAGCTGAGAGGGCCGATTAACTCAGCAGCTTCGAACTTCATCTCCTTCTGTGCCTACGTGTTTAAAGCACATACACCAAGGAAAGCGTTTCTTTGAGCCCTGCCACAGTAACTTTCAGAATTTTGTTTTGTTCAGTTTTCAGCTTTGGGTTTCTTACTGCATATTCTCCTCTAATGTATGCCTATTCTTCCTTATCTCTCTAAATCAGAGAAAAATGCTTCTTTAAAACTCACTATCTATATTTTCTTATTCTTGCACGTGATGTCTATGGTGAAGCATTTTTGTTACTTCCCTGTCTTTTGGCTGACTTCCTTCATACTTGGTACATATAACACTATATTATTTTTGTTAAGGTCCATTCTTGGAATGAAGCAAACAGATAATTCCATAGTTCTAACTATGCTATATTTCTACTTAGAGTGTAATACACTAAGTTCTGATCTACATACATGTTATGACATGTGGATATATGCATCCATAACACACTCTAAATTCTTTTGTTTGTTCATTATTTTTATTATTTTACAACACTGGGATTATATTTGTATCATATAGAGAATGATATGGTTTCTTAACACACCACCTTGTAATAGAATTATCTTTGTAGTTAACAAATGTGAGTAAAAGTAATACACTGACATAATAAAAAAAGTGTATATTGCCATGTATGAAAATATACATTACCAAAGATTCTAATGAATGGATTTTCATTATGATAAAATTCTATATTGGTTAACATAAATATTTAAATTGTTATATTTTTAATTTATATTATATCTTCCCTAATTAAATTTATGTAAGTTATTTATAACATAAATTTTACAGTAGGGAAACACAGAAGTTTCTAATCTTCACACACAAAAAAAAACAAGCATCTTGTATTTCAATAGGTGTAACATTTTCAGAAGC